ATTACACTGCAATATGGTGTCGGAGCATTAGATACCAATAGTAATTCCATCGCACCTAATCCTACTGACACTGCATCGCATATCTTGGGGTGATAGAACATCGGATAGGCCCATCCGATACAAATATCTTGGCAGTGATACTGGCTGTATATACATATAATAGAATAGAATACATATAATAATATATGTGTTATATCATATATATATATATATATTTGACCTCTCAGGACCTCTCAACTTGATTTTGTTTGGTCAGTTGAAGGGGGAAATCCCTGAAAGGCATTCAGAAGAACATTTGGGCCTAATTTTCTGAACTTACTTCTGTAGACCTGGAGACTTCTAGACCTTTCTGCATGATTCTAGTGTGGACATATGCAGCTCAAATTGATTTTGGTTGAGTGTGAGTATTTGGTTTTGTATTGATGCTGACCAAACCTTGATATTTGTCTGATAATTTCCAGAACTCATGGGGCACCCCAGGCTACCAGTGAGAAGTAAATGGGGGAAGTGTATGTACAAAACTCTTCAATTTGCATAGCCAACAAAAAGGAATCCAGTCTAGGACTTTTAGACAAGCAATCACCCAAGGGTGTGACTTCACAGTTGAATAAGAAAAAAAAAATACAATTCTAAAAGAACTACTCTAAATCAAGGGAGATGAGTTCTCATGGTCTACTACATCCAGCTAAGAATCAGTCCAAGTTGATTAGCAATCAGGGTTGAGGTGAAACACTTCAGGGAAGGGGAATTGGGGGTGAGTGATTGAGGGTGGAGGGACAAAGCTGGAGTGAGGTGAGATTGAGGAAGTGGAGGGGGTAGAGGTGGTCAAGTGTATATCTGAGTGAGGTCAAAGGTGCATCCAAGGGTGGTCAAGGGTTTGTGTGGTGGAAAAATCACCAGAGGGTCACTAGTTAGTGATTCTTTAGGCTCTCATCAGATTTGATGAAAAAGTTGGTGAGTTTGATGAATCACTAGCAAGTGAAGCCCTAATTGGGCACAAGTTTGAAAACCAGGGTTGCATTACATCAGATTTGATGTAATGAGGGGGTTTAGTGCAATGGAGAGGGATCTGACTTTGTACCACCATAATCAATCTGATCACATGTCCCCACCCATGACTGCAGCAGAAACCCATCCAATTCTTGGGACACTCATTCTCCTTATTCAAGTTTTAGCTATCTCAATCTAGCTGAACCTCTCTCTTATTCAAACCTCTGCTCACATATGCACTAATGCATAGGGGGCTGCCTGGCTCAATGGAGGGTGTTCCCCCCAATGTATTGTAGAGATGGTAAAATGTCACTTGTGTGTCTGGTGGGATTTGAACCAATGACCTCAGCATGATAGCTGAGACACATACTAGAGTGCTGCCTTTTTTCACTAGGCTACAGACACTTGTGGCTGCCATAGGTGCTTTCTATGTGTATAGATGTGCTCATAGAGTCAACTCAACAGTTCCCTCATACTGTGGTGATACATCATGTAAGCATACATTGGTTTACATCTCAAAAGAGATCTGTTACATGGGAAAGTGAACTGAACACTACTTCTAACACCTTGGATGTTAGTTAGATAGTCTAGTGGTAAAAAGGAAGCACACCTAGAACTTTGCTGCAGTTAAACATTGAGGTCCCTGGTTTGGATCCAGGTTTGATCATTTCTTCTCTATAGCTCAACACAAGACTTTTACACTGATAACCAGATGTTGTAGAACAAACAATCACAATTGGACATGTATATCACTACCAGATAGAATTTAAAGATATTCAAAACACCCCTAAACATCACAGCTGTTCCTTTAAATTTTTTTTTTTTTGTTCTTCAAAGTTAAAAACCAGGAAAGAAAGAAAAAGATCAAGAAAACCATTTTATTTTTATTTTTTTTTTGACTGGGAGATGGCCATCTTTGAAGGATTGAAGGAAATAGAAAATTTTAAGAGTTGAAACAACAAATTTTTGTAAAGGGCCTCAATTTGATCAAGTGATTTAAAGGAAATTGTGTGAGGGTCTCTTTAGCAGAAGACATATTCAATGAATTTTTTTTTTATTTAATATTCAGAGAGGGGCTTCAAGAGCTGTTATCACCTGCAAATATACACTCACAAGTCTCTTGAGTATCTATCACAACTACACAAAAGTTCATTGATGTGTGGATAACTGTGGGGTTGTGTTAAAAAAACAGGCCATGAGCTGCAGGTGCTATTCTTTGAAGTTGATCAAATTTCCTTTTTAGAAATTCTTCTTCAAGCTTGATCATGAGATCACTTGATTTGGCATGAATAGCATTCCATAAGGTTTTATTCAACATCTTCAAATTTTCTTGGTTATCCTGAGTGATTGGCCTAAGCTGCTTGAACCCTTTTGCAGTCTCTTGAGGGGAATGCTCATCATCTTTGAGGAGATAGCGCAAGATGTATTCAGTATACGATGGACCAATACCGCCAGAAGGCATGCTTGAATACAATATCTCCCATCTTTTTGGGTTCCAAAATAAAGCTGTGTGGAGGCTATGGTAGTTTAAATCTTGAAGGAAGTTCTCAGCAGAGTAGCGCTCAATGAGGTAAACATCCCTAAAGGTATATATATGTTGAGTTCCGGGTGAGGGAGAAGTTGGCAAATAGGAACCACCTCGCAATTCTATGAGCATTTTCTTCAACTCATTGCAAGCCAATTCCCACCAGCCTTCATTCTCTAAAGACTTTTGAGCATTCAAGAAGGCAGCATGTAATTGGAATATATCCCAGTGAGTACTATCCAACGGCATCCGAAGCTTTTGGAGTGATTTGATTTCATTTTTCTGAAATGAAACTTCAAGTCCACTTTCAAGCATATATGAAACATGGTTTTTCAAATGTGTTGTTGCCAACTTTCCTTGACCACTGATCAATCTCTCAAGTATTTCATAGTCGCGTGCAGCGTTTTTAACCAAATTCATCTCGTCTGAATTGAGATTGAAGACTTGTGTTTGCTTCAGAGTGTAATGTCTGTAAAATTGTTTCAACAACTTATCTTCCAATGAAGTCAATGCGATTTCTGCAGGCACAAGCTGACCACGGACTGCCATGATCTTTGTCAGAAAGTGAACATATGTCTTTTGATAGTCATTCATCCTTTCTAAGGTCCTACCATTTTCCACGTACGCGTTGCCAATCATTTGTGGACCGTTTCTCACAGCCGATGGATTATTACTTGGTCCTGAGAGTTTTTTGATCATCTTTCGCCGCACCTCGTCTACATCAATCTCGAGTTCGCTCTTAGGATTCAAAAACGTTTCTCGGGACCTGATAGCAATTCTAGCCAGTATGTGATCATTCTTCTCGGAGAAAAAAGATTGGGTAGGTGTTCCAATGTGGAGAATTTGGATATTCAATCTGTGAATTTCGTTCTTAAGATCCTCCAGTTTTTTCAGGTCCGCCTGCCTATCATATAATTGATGGGCTTCAACCTTGACTCGATTGATCACATCTGATACGTGCTTTTGGTAGTACGGCTGGAAATTCCCAGTTTGGGTTGGTGTTTTGATTCCACGCATCATCTTGGTCTCGATGTTATTCAGCTTCTGAATGTTATACACGACTTTGCTCATCAGTGGCTTGCAGTTGATGAATGAAATAGCACAGGCCACGACAAGGATTGTTGTAATTTTGGAGGACCACATGTTCGGGGTGTCTTGTCTCCGACTAACCGTGCAAACAATAGGTTCACTTTATCCTCAGTCAAAGCTGTCTATGTTCTTCTCCACAGAGATAATGCCTCTGATAGGCTTCCTAATGTCTGTTTCAGTTCAATCCAACACCCGCTTGACAAGCTAGCTGTGAGCGTTCAACGAGATACAGACTTGAAGGTGCTTTGCGTGCCTGCTCCTGAGCTTTTATAGCTTTCAAATAGTGTCAAAGGTGATTTTTCTCGATCAACTGGTCTTATGATGATGTAGGAAATCAAGGGATAACAATCACTCCTGTAAGGACATTTCTTAGACTCAAGAAAAGGTTGGAATCGTATCCCACACCTTATTGATGGGGGGGGGGGATAGTTAGAGAAACCTAGGAGCGGGCGGGGGGTTCGAATTGGTCGATAAAAAGAGTATGGCTTGCGAAAATGGGGGCTATCTTGGAAACGTGTTTTTTTATGTTCAAAATATAGTTTATCAAGAGACAAAATCAGATGATCTGGCAAATATTTCAAAACTGAACTGGTACAGATTCCACATGCAACACTCCTACAACTTTTGAA